CCCTCGGCGTAGCCCAGCGGCGGCCTCCCCGGGGTGTCTGAAGCCCCCGGCCCCCCAGGACGAGAAAGGCACGGGGTCTCCCCAGAGCAGAGCTGCAGGGGCCGGGCTGGGGCGGGGCCTCTGGGGGACGGGCGGGGCACGTGAGGGCCGCTGGGGGGAGCCCTGGGGCTCCAGGGCCCCCCTGGAGTGGGCGCCTGCGGGCGCGTGCGGAGGCTGCTGGTGGTGCTGCCGGGGCCTCAGTAGAAGGAGATGCTGGACTTGCCGCCCGGTGGGTTCAGGACCTTGTTGTGGGAGCGCGGCCGGGGCCCCAGGCGGGGCTCGTGGCGGTCCACGGGGGGTGCTGGCCCCCCGGCGTCTCCGGAGCCCTCCTGGCCTGGCTCTTCCCTGGGGGCAGCCCTGGCAGCAGCTGTGGGCAGAGATGCCGGCCGCGTCAGAGGGCAGAGCCGGCCTTGCTGCGCCCTTGGTGCCGGGGGCCGGGGCTCGCGGGCCAGCGCTGGGCGCTCCGTCCCCTGCCCGAGCGCGGTCCCTGTCTCCCAGTCCCCAAGGCAGGTCAGCCATGGGCAGCTCAGACCCGGTAGGGTTGGCCCTGCAACGTCCAGGCCACCACTGGTGCCTGCGGTCTGGCATGCCCAAAGGAGGCACCGCCGGCCGCCCCAGGGCTCCTGGGGCACGGGGCAGCCTCCAGGAGGCCGTGGCCTTGGGCGGGCAGGCGGGCGGGGGCCGCGGGGCTCTGGGCCGGGGCAGGGCTCACCACTGCAGTCCGGCTTCAGGTCGTCACCTTCGCGTAGGAACTCGTGGTCCTGCAACAGGGCAGCCGGTCAGGGCGCCGCGCGGACGGGGCCGGGCAGGGCGGCCGCAACCACGTCTGGGCCCGGCTTCAGGGCTCACCAGGGGCCGTCCTGACTCCAGCCACGCTGCACCCCGGCCAGGAGGACCCCTCGACCACCAGTGCCAACAGCTCACCCACCCCGGTGAGCCACTCTGCGCGCCCGACACCAAGACACCACTCCAGACAGCAAGGGCCGGCGGGCCACCAGCCGCCCACCCGGTTTTCCCCAGGCTGGCCAGGCCGAAGGCCGAGGGCCCCCATACCACTCAGCACCCACACAGGGCGCCCCAGCCCCTCCGCCACCACAGCCATGGGGTGGATCCTGGACGGGGAGGGGGCCGTGCTGCCCCAGGCTGCAGGTTGAGGCCGGCGTCCACACGCCTGCGCTGACCTGCAGACACGTCCCCGCCGGGTGTGTCCAGAGCTCTCTCGCGACACCAGATTTCTTAATTCCGACAGCTACAGTTCATTTATTTCAAGGGCTGCTGTCTCCGGTGTTATTTCAAGGGCTGCTGTCCCCGAAACCCCAGGACCAGAGCCCCGAGTGACCCTGGGCAGCCCGCTCCTGCCCGCCCCGCCCATACCTTGGGCTTGTTTGGGTGGGCCAAGGGCGCGGCGGCGGCCACAGGGGACCCAAAGATGTCGCTGGTCTTCCCGCCGGGTGGGTTCAGGCGCTGCCGAGTCTGCAGAGGGGCCGCGTCGTCGAAGATGCCGCTCCCCTTGCCCCCTGCAGGGACAGCCGAGCGGGCAGCCAGAGCGCCCCCACCCCCCAGCTGTGAAGCCCTGCCCCAGCCCGCGCCACGCGGCCACGGAGGCAGACAGCAGCCGCACCCTTCCCTGAACCCAGGGCCCGCGCCGGCTCTCGAGTGACCGGCCCCCTCCTGCCGCGCAGGGCCCTGGAGGGACGGGGCGCCACTCGCTCGCGTCTCTGTGAAGACAGAGGGCCGCCCCGCCCCCACAGCGGCTGCCCACAGGGGCTGCGAGGGCGGGCCGGCCGCCCCCCCACTGGCGGGTGTGCTGAGGACGGGCAACAAAGATCCAACAGGTTCTTTTAGAAAAAAAGTTTTTCTTTGAATTTCTGTGAGAAGTTTCTGGCTAAATACCTCTTAGCTGCGGGGCACGGGCGCCCCAGGGCACCCCAGGACTGCACCAAGGGGCCGGCATCCACAGTGGCACTCGCCGGACTCCAGCCCTCAGTGCTGCGGGGTGGGGACCCGGGCACCCCGAGATGGAGGGGCATCTGCGCTCTACCCCCGCACCAGAGAGCTTCCCCCAGGACGTGGACCGGCCTCACGGGAGCAGGAGTCCCAACGGGATGTCCCCGGGAGCTGGGCCGGTCAGGGGACTGCCTCGGCCAGTACCTGGCGGGTTGGTCCTCTTGGGGATGTTGTGAGGCTCCTCGCCGGGCCCAAAGACACTGGACGCCATCCTGTGGGGCCTGCCGCGAGGGGCGGCATCCTCCGGGCTGCTGGGCTCCCCCGCAGGGGGCTGGGCTGTCCTGCAAGCACAGGAGACGTGGGGGAGACGCGGGTGTGAGGCGCCGGGCAGCCGGGTGCGGGGCGGTCAGCCGATCTCGATCTCGAAGGCCAGCACAGGCACCCTGTCCGCCCCCGAGTCTGCAGGGAAGCGCCCCAGAAGCGCTGGGCAGAGGCAGGGGCGCAGAGCTCGAGGGGGCTCAGCACGGTGGGCCCCATGGGGAACCTGTGAACCCTCAAGTTGCCAAGACCTCCCAGGACGACGGGGGGGGGGGACAGGGGGGGGGCCCACACTGGGCCGCCCCACCTGCAGCCGGCAGCAGCCTTCCCCGGCATTCAGGTGCCAGACCCCTGGGCCTAGACGCTCGGCCGCTTCCTAGTGCCACGCGGACAGAGCACCTGGTGCGGGTGCTCCAGGGGCCCACAATGTCCTCAGCCTGCCCGT